TGTTAGCAATTATTATCTGAGTTTTCACTGCAAACAAAAAATTAATAAATCCAAAAGGTCTCCATTTTCTATTGAAAGGAAAAACAGCATCCCTGGGAAAGGTCACTGACAGAACAATTAGAAAGGAAATAGATGGTTCAGACAACAGCTTGTGAACCAAATGAAAAGTCACTGCTTTCCCAAGTGGCATGAGAACAAAACAACTCAATACAAAGACAGGGGTGGGTAAGGGGAAGCTGCTGCCGGGAGCGGCCAGGAGGTGCATTAAATGTGAGGTATCACAGGGACAGGGACAACTGAGGCACTTAGCACCTGACCTGAGAAGCTCATAGGCTGGGAACAAGTCACCAAAACAGCATTAGGGTGTGCAGCTAGCAGTGAGCAGAGAAGGGGCGTCCCACCCCCAGGGAGGAAGGCCCGAGAAAGCCTCCAGCAGGCTGAACCTGGGAGTCAGTCTGCTCCGTGAACACCCTAACCAAGAAGCTCCGTTCCTCTGAGGACCCTGAAGCCCATCATCGAGGGAAAATGGCAGTGCAGTCTGACTCCTTTTCTGAGAGTAGAGTATCTCCCACACTGCTGGGCTGGGAGTAGATGAAATAAAGCAAGACAGGAAGCGAGGCGAAGATTCAAGATCCCCCAGGTGAGGGGACCCCTCGCTGTGCAGGACTCCTGGTGCCTCCTACACCTTCACGAGTACAAATTCATCTGACTCTGTGAGACCCTCTAACCCAGCAGCCTGAAGAAAGCGCCAGCACAGACCTCACATCTGTGGGACCCTCACACCTACAGAGACCTCACTGAGGTAGATTCTCTGCCATCCTCTACGCTGACCTGAAGCCACCCATCTAGGACCTCGTGCTTGGGACCGGCAAATAGAGGCTGAAAAGTTGCCTGCTTAGTGTGTCTCTCTCTAGAAAAAATATTTTAGACTCTTTGAGAGACAGAGGAAAAGGTAATGTACTTGCTTATCAAGCCAAGTGCTAATCTCTAATATACAGAGTGATTTTCCCACCAGAAACATAAGTCCCGACCATGCCTCACCTTCAGCACTGAAGATTTCACCCTCAAGCTGTGGATTAATTAGCCTTTTCTGAGTTTCTACTTCCCTAATCAAGGAGCATGAATGCCACCAAATGAGGCGGAGATGCACACGGACCCATGTGCAGAGGGGCATAAAGATGGCACAAAGCACAACGCCATGTAGTATGAGCAGAAAGGAGTGAGACAGCCTCCCTGCACACCACAGGACAACAGTCCACTTTCCGCATCCACAAGGGTGGATGTGACATTGGGGAAGGAGTCTCCGATCAAGCCCAGGGAGAGCTCTAATTCTCAGCCTTATGACCCAGCTACCTGGCGGGAGCTCTGGGTCATTGAGAAAAGTCAGCCACACCTCAGTAATCCTCCAAACCTGAAAGTCTGCATGCGTTGTTATTTGACTAAAGGATGTCAGCGGGTGGTCGCTCGAAGTGATAAACTTGCTGGTGCGAGTGGAGAAAACCGTGGCTGCCGCTACTGTTAAGAGGACCAAAGAGCTCCAGGAACAATGTCATAAGGACAGAGAGCCTGCTGCAGGATTGAACGCTTTTAAACAGGCTTTTTGCCTATTTGGAAACAGGAAGCTTCTGAATTATTAATCCAGGGAGGCAAATAATTATATCACACCGGAACCTGGCAGGGAGCATCACCCTGTCATGACATCTGCAGCTCCAGGGCTTCTCTGTGGTACAGAAAATTGAAGAAGAGCCACCAATGCAATTTCAGCGCGGCTATGCATGTTCAGCCAAATCATGAAGCTAAGAGGGTCCATGTTTAATTCAGTTTCTTTTCTCAGCCCGTTGTACAAGGCAGGAAAACCGTAGTGCTCTAGGCTCTAACTGTAACATACATCATCATCAGTACGGAAAAACAGAGTGGGAGACAGCGGACTTTGAGGGATGAATGAGGAAGACAGTAAAAAGTTGGAAGACTCCCTGTGAGCCCTGACGGGTAGAGAAGCCTAACGAAGTCTAGGAGCAGTCTCTTTCCACATTCACCCTCTGTCTCCAAGCTCAACTCCACTAAAACACACTCATGTATGACATTTATCCCTAGCGACGGTCCGTAACACCCACTAGCTTTTCAAATCCCTGAAAGTGACAGCGTATGGCATTTGTTTCCTGTACATTGCTGTGCTGGTTAATCTTGATGGTCAGCTTGGCCGGCTCAAGCGACTCCTAAAGAGGTGACTGGAGGGTGAGGACTCTGACCTCATCATGAGCCTGCTGGTGACCCCATGGATGAGTGCATAGCTCAGTGGATGTCGGGTGCAGTGAGAAAAGGGGGATCGTGACCTTGAGGGCTCTCTCTGGGCCCGGCCCCTTTCTGTCTGGCTCTTCCTAACCACATCTGCTTCTCCACTGCTGTGAGTTGAGCAAGTTTCTTCCACCACACCCCCCACCAGTTCTGCCAACACGTCTCTGTGTCACAGTCAGTTGACTATGGAGCTCTCAAACTGTGAAACCAAATAAAACTCTCTTTCCTCTGAGTTGCAGGCACCAGGTACATTGCCCCAGTAACAGGCAGTACAACTGTGCTCTGAGCGAGGCCCCATCTGTGAACCGTGTAGGTCCCCAACTCAACACTCAGACACTTGCTGTCTCCCACGTGGCTCCCTTCTGTAGACCAGCACTGCCTGACCCCACCCGGTCTCTGCTAGCGATGCCTTTCTACCCGCCACTTCCCAAACTGACTACGTCTCATCATTCCAGCATCCAGCTCAGAGATATCTCTCCTGTAAAAAACATGTTCAGCTAGGTAAAGGTTGATATTCCAATTCCCCCCACTTGGCAAAAGGAAAACATTCTAAACAACATCCCCACCCCCACCTAACTTCCTGCCTTTGGTCCCAAAGACTCTGCCAACTCATACAGTATATGGAGTCCACTCCTTTGGTGTCCTACAAATTTCCCTCCAAATTTGCAGCAATGGATCCTTAAAGACACAGTCAATAATGACATAGAAAGATTATACAAACATACAGGGCTCCAATAATCATTAATAATTACAGTGATGTAAGTACATGAGTTACTGTCCTAAGTGCTCTTGCATTTATTGTTTAATCCTTACCACGAGGCATTTGTTAATTCATTCACTGAGCAAACATTTATGAAGCACCTCTTATGTGCCAGATTCTCCTCTAGGTGCTGAGGGCAGAGCTTTGAATTAACATGCAGCACTTCCCTCTCTCTGCAGCTTAGATGTTAGTGGGTGTAGGTAGACAATAAATAAATCAATAAGTAAATATTTAGCATGCCAGATGGTGATAAGTACTAAGAAGGGAAATGTAGATGAGCAGTGGAGTGTGAAGCCTGGAGAAAGGCCTCCGTGACGGGGGGCTCAGTGAGCAGAGAGGGGAATCCACCCGCCCTGGGGCGCTCCAGGTGAAAACTCCAGGGAAGAGGGTGGTGGGTATTTCTGAGAGTCACAAAGTAAATGCAGAAACAGCAAAGGTATATGCCATACCACATCTAATACACATGTAGGGAAACTGAGCTTCAGAGGGTGAAGTGGACAGAAGAGTGGACTCCTCTAAAAGATATGCCGGTCCCTAATTAGCCCGGAGACTAATGCGGGACTATATTCGAGGAATGGGTCTTTGTAGATGCCACTGAAGGCCCTGAGATGAGGTGATCCTAAGTTATCCAGGTGGACCCTAGGTCCAGTGACAAGTGACGTTATGAGGGACAGAGAGGAGAAACCCAAGCAAAGACAAAAGCAGGGTTACAGTGATGCAGCTTCAGGGAATGCCAACAGCCACCGGAAGCATTAGAGACAAGGAGGATTTTTCCCTGGAGCCTCCGGAGGGAGTGTGGCCCTGGCACTCCTTGATATCGGACTGCGGGCCTCCAAGGCCATGAGGGTGCAAATATCTACCTGCCATCTGAAGCCACCCACGTTGCAACAGTGTTTCGGCTTCCCAAGGAAATGGACACAGCAGGTAGGAAAGTGTTTCAAGGGACGGAGTTCCGGGATGTTCAGACCGGCACCTGTACCCCAGCACCTGGACAACAATATCCAAGTGCCCAGGGCCCCGAGGCTGTGTGCACACACGACAGTGAGCCGTGACTGTGGGATCACCCTCCCAAACTTCAGGGTGCTGGAACTACAGGCGTAGGGCTTCAGGCCCAGGTTCCCTGGGCTTGCCAGGCCCTTGGCCGGAAGCAGCCAGCCGCTCTCTGTAACGCGGGTGCCGGCAGAGCTGTTTCTCAGAGAAGGACCAGGTTCTCTGGCTGGTTCCATGGTTTGGCCAAGCAGACTGTGCAGGAGTGTGGCTGAAACTATCGCCCAGCATCACTAAGACCTGATTGGAGGGGAGGCTGCAGCAGTCAGTGCCCTGGGAAGTACCGTGTGAGCAGAACTCATCAGGTTTATGCCCACCAGAGCACCCTAGGTACTGACACCCCTGGCAGTTTTCAGTGAGCAGTGACATTAGGGAGAAGACATTCTGTGTAAAGGAAGACAGGCCCCAGTTGACTTGGAGAAAGGCCAGGGAAGGCCAAAGAGCATAGGAGCCATGGAAGTCATCACGCAGACTTCATCTGTGCCTGTTCCCACAGGCACTGGCTTCTCCAGAACCACAGCACCTTCTAGATGCAAGGGCCTTGGGGCCATGCACGGGACAAGACAGCCACCGCAGGACTCTGGCACAGCAGCAGGCCCTTGGCAAGCGTCTTCACTCATGCAAGGGATGCCCCTCTGAGCTCTCCGCCCAGAGCCTGTCTTCTTCAAGACACTGAGAGCCCACAGAAGGGGCCAGGTGCCAAGGTGGCTGATGGCACAACCAGCCCTTAAAGAGCACTGAAGGAACTCACAGGCTGGGTGCTAAGTTCCACTGGGCTTTAAGGGTGCTTCCAGGAGGTCGATCTTCTGCTCCTTCAGAAACGGGCTCCCCTGTCGCTGCGCCTGTGCTTCTCCAGAACAGACCAGAGCAGCTCCTCAGGGGTCGCTAACCCACTTACCTCCACAGAGAGCTCTCAGTCACGCTTCCCAGGTTGAAGTCGTACAGCTTCGTCAGGATCAGAATGACCTGCAGGGGGCGGGAGGCGGGCAGAGGAAGGGACAGGGGAGAGAGGAAGCTCACTTTAGTCCGTAGAGCAATGCACAACGCATCTCACAACACCCAGAGGAAGGCTTAGGGTTTATCGATCGCATGGAGAGGTATTATAGGATCAAGCAGGGGAATAATTATTAATTTAATGCCTCCCTGTAACTAGGAGCATTTATTTTAATCCTGACGGTTCTTTGCATTTGAAATAAAACACCAACAGGAATTAACTGGGTACTGACAATTTTTTCCCACAGCTCTCCTCCCTCAAGCGCAGGCCCAGGCCAGCTGGCTTTGCTCACCCCCAAGGCCACCCACGGATCCAAGGACAAGCTTGCTTTGGATCTCTGTGATGTACAGAACTGCATCCAAAAAGGTAAGAAGGAACTGGATCTGTTTCTTTCTGCCTACAAAAAGTCTTCAAAGAGATTTTGTGCTCCCATAGGTAGGGCCTTTGCAGGCATAACTACCTGAATGGGAGTTGGCTCGGTCCCCAACACTCTCTGACACCATCTGCCATGGCTCACGTGGCACTTTCTCCCACCATGCAATAAGCAGGTCATTCGACTTCACTGTGCTCTAAGACCACTTTCCTGACTCCCGGTAAGGTTAAAAAACCCAGGAGCTGCACGCACCAGAGAGCAGCACGTGCCAGAGAGCTACAGCTACCTATAATCAAGTTAGCGGCATTCTGAGCTGGTGTGGGGCCAGTCAGTCTGGCCCCATGCCAGCTGGATACCTGTACATTAGACATTGCCCTGCCTGCCCCTGATGTACAAGGACTGTGGCTTAGGCATAGCCTCCTTGCTCCAGGAATACTAAGTACCTGCACCTGAATCAATTTTAATCAAAAGCAGGTGGGTAACACGCATCCACACACCGCTTGTCTGCACAAGTGATAATCCAGTTACACGTAATTGTGTTTATCTAAATTTAATGCACAACTCATTTCACTTTTCTCAGCTCCTTCTGACTCCACAATTTAACTTTCTCCAGTTCATTTACACAGCAGCCATTAAACTCTTTCCAAGATAATGAATTCCTGCTACTAAGACGGGACTTTCTCATTCTAGGTATCCATTTAAGATTAAAGAAAAATAATCAGCCATTATGTTGAACATTTCTATGGCACTTAACTAACAACAAAGCACTCAGTTTGAGATTTATTCTCACCCAGCACTGTAGGGGTCAATCAGCTCCATTTATATGTCTTCTATGTAAACTAAAAGAAAAAAATTAAAGGCAAGGGGTGTGATCCATTACAGGTCAGAGAGTCCTTGGCAAAGTTAGTTTGGACATGTAACTTCTGAGAAGGCCATTCCTGAAGGATCAGACTTCCTTCCAGACACGTCTTGGGATAGGAGTGTCAGGCTGGCAAGAAACACCCTCCATGGTATGGTTATCTGCAGGGTAGGGGAATCTCCCAAGGTACCTGTCCTACTACTACGCCACGGTTCTGCAGTGGCCACTGCCTCTCCATGCCTGACTAGTTTTCTTTGTTAAAGTCAGGCCTAATAAAGTCCAGAGACATATCCCTGTCCTCCCAAACCCCTAGCAGCACACAAGACAAATGTGTAACTCATACATACGTGAACCCACACACCTGCATGCACACGCGCACACACACACACACACACACACACGTGCAGCACAGTCCTCTCCTGTGAGTTCCTTCATCTAGTGTCACAAGGTTAAAGGCAAGGTATCTATGTGAAAGCCATTCCACATTCTGGAAAACAGAAGCTCACAACTAAATTAGGAATGAGTCACAGTGACCACGCAGGGGTCTGCAGGAGCAAGCAGATCGCTGCGGGACACCAGTCTCCAAAACAGCACAAAACCCAGGCAGAGAGAAGAGATGCTGAGGCTAAGAACTCCACCACAGTTAACACAGATTCTAGTTAAGAACTAACTGCATCTGAAAAACTCCTCTCATCCAAAACTTAAAGACCCCTCTTCTCTTCCTCCCTTCCTCCATCTGTTCTTCCTCCACTTTCCTTCCTCTCCCCTTTGTCTTCCCTTCCTTCCTGCCTCCTTCCAGCCTCCCTTCTTCCTTTACTTCCTTCCTTTCCTCCCTCACTCTTTCTTTCTTCCTTCCTTCCCTTCCTCTCCCTTCCCTTCCTCCCTTCTTTCCTTCTTTCTTTTCTCTCCCACTCCTTCCCTCTTCCTCTCTCCCTTCTCTCCTTCCTTCCTTCCCTCTCTTCTCTACTGGGAGTCAAAGCCGCATCTCAGTTGAGTAGCATGGCAGTCTCTTCCAGCTCCTCCCCCATTTCCTCTTGCAGCAGGAAGTTTCTTGGACACCTGACCTTATCTTGGCGTTTCCTTCTTGGACAATGCAGACTTACACATTGTTTCATACTTCGGTGAATGTTATTTCTGTCTTCATGACAGATTAGGGCACTTTCACCATCAGAAACTCTGCGGGCTCCTCCTTCCCGCTGACAGATGAGATCCAGACTCTGAGATCGGCAGTGGAGGTACCCCGTGGTCTAGCCCGAACACTCTCTCCCCAGCATCCTTCCAGTTTCCAAAAGCCTGTCCTCTTGTTAAGCAACCTAAGTTTCTCAAGGTCCTGCAGGTTTGCCCAGCTCGCTCTGTGCTTTCTTCTGTGCGTACTGCTGCCTCCTGCCCGTGCCATCCTTTCACTGCCTCCAGGTGGTTGAACATTCCAAAGCCCACCTGCTTCAGGAAGTTTCCCAAGACTAGCCCAGCCATCGAAATGTTCTCCCTTCTAGTGTTCTGGTGTGTTCAAACTGAGTCACATAAATTACCGCTTCGTCAGGCACTATCCCAACAGCTTCTGGGTGTTGCGTGAGTTTCCTTCTCACGGATCATGCTTGTATCTCTGCCTTCTTGGCAGACAAGCTCAGCATACTGATGGTTTTACAGAATAATCACCTTTGAGTTAATGGAAAGTACGGATGCTCTGGAGGTAACTCATAGACTCAGCAGGAGATGGAAACAAGCTAGTCGACTGTCAGCTTATCACTGTGTTGGAGATGAGTAAAGGAAAGAGGCCCAGGGTGGGGGCAGGGTTCAAGGTCAAGTCGGCACTGTTTGGACGTGGCTGAGTAACCAGTGCAGTGCCCCTGCCTTGCCATGAATAAAGCTGGCGCCAGTCGGTGGCTCCATCCACTTCAAGTGTGACTTGTGGGGCACGGGTAGGGCCCAGAAGTCCTCCTGTGGCAACCAGAGGGCCCCAGGGAGAAAAGACTCCACCAGGCCATGATCCCTTTCTCACCTCTGTGCTGTGATGATGCCACCCACCGCGCCATGGTAAGATGCTCACCTAGCCAAGCACTCCTTGGTTTAAATTCAAGTAACTTGATAAACAGCGCAGGCAGCAGGAGAGGTATGAGGAGGACGCCTCGGCTAAGTCACACCAGGAATCCCCGAAGGGAAAGTCAACGCTGAGAATTAGGAGCTGCACGCTTCTTTTCCCTGGAGCCAGCACAGAAGGGCATTAATAGAACCATGAAGAGATGATAATGTAACATTTCGGCTTAAGATATCCTGTATTGGGCAAACAAAACCAAGAGTGAAAGAAAGCCTGGCTGTCCCTGGCCTCTCTCACCACTCCCAGCCTCCCAAATGACCAGGGAAAGACACCGTGTCTGAAAGCAGATGCAGTGAACCCGCTAGCAAGGCCCAGGCTGCCAGGCAAGTACTCAGATCAGAAAGAAGAGGTGTGAGGGCGCCTAGAACACCGGAGAGCGGGATGAATGCAGGGTGCGGGGCCGAGAGGCTGGTCTCAGATCCACAACAAAGCCTGACGGGACTCCCCTCCAGCTGATGCCCCAGAATGAGAAGGCAGTCAAAGTGAAATAAGGAAAAGTGAAGACCATTGTGCTATGTGCCGATTACCACACTGGGTGATTACATCCTCCCAACCATCCGCTGAGACCCAGCAGGTATCCCATCGGCAGCGCACACACAGGGAAACAGGCCCAGCAAGCAAAGTGCGTGGCAGCCAACGAGCCAGAGACACAGCCAGCACCCCCAGGCTCATCTGCATCAGCTGTGCTCGCTCTGCTCCAGTGCGGTGCTTCTCCGTGCAGCCCGTGCTTATGCGGGCTTGTGTGAAGGTAACGAGCAGGAGCACGGATAGGGACCACCACCCCCCTGCCTTCAAGGAGCCTGTCACTCGTTCATGAATCCCACGGGTATTTACTGAGGGCCTGCCACGTGGCAAACCCTAGGAACCACAGAGAGACCCAGAGCTCAAGGCCCATGGGAGAAGATAACTCTGGCTTCCTTTGTCCTTGGAGAAAGAAACGGAGGCATATGGCGAGAAAAGAAGCAAATTATTAGGAGATCCAGGTTTGTCAAATAAGAACTTCTTTGACCTCACTGGCTACAAACCTGGAAGAGTTTAGACAGCAGGGGCGATGGAAGGAAACTGGAATAATTCATGAGTAAACAGCAGTTCTCTCGTCTCATAAGCTCTATCCACACATGCACACACTGGAGAGGGGTATGTGTGTGTGCGTGTGTGTGCATGTGTATCTAAATGTAGCCAGCAAAGCCCATATGTATTTATGGAAATATAGATATAAGCGTATAAGACATTAATTCAAACTGGTACCTGACATCTCTACAGTAACACTGTGATCACTCGTCGCTGATGCCTTGTATCAGACTAAGATGATCTCACCATGTGCCTCTGGGTGACTGCGACCTCTCCCAGGTCAGAAACCAAGACTCATTCAACTCTGCATCCCCGAGGTCACGCAACGCCTCCCACGCGGCAGCTATTATACAAGGTCCTGTGGATGAATTACAAATGCACGATCATAAAAAGGGGCTGAGATGATAAATGTGTGAGAGAGGTGTGGGTAACGTGCCATGAGGGCTGAGAAGAGGAGGCAGTTAAATCCAGAAAGTGTGATCAGCACAGTTGGTGAACAAGGATAAAGCGTGGTAAGAATGCGGATATCCTGAGGTGAGGCCTGTTCACCTGCCTTATGTCTCCTTCTTGATTT